GTTTGGTGTTTGAGTATACTATTCACATGATTGGTTAATTGCTAAAGACACCGTTTTATCATATTTAGAGGCTCAGGGTAAACCTCTTTATATATGTCTTTTTCAACCAGACTATGTATCTAAATAGAAGTAGCTGTTTTCTTTCCAACAATCCGTTATTTTCCTGTAGTGTAAGTAAATATTGTGATGTAATCAATTGTATAAAGATGTATAGAGATCATATATGTTATGTAGCTTATTGTATGCAAATTAGAGGCATTTTTGTATTTCGATAAATATGCATTGTAAACCTTTTAACTAAGTAATGACAATTAATTATTTTATTTTTTTGTATGCAGTGATTATGCCTTCTATGCACTTGACAATACCAATCTGAGACAGCTCTGGGACTGGCAGAAGCACAATTTAACAATTCTTAAAGGAAAACTCTTCTTTCATTACAACCCACGCCTCTGTCTACAAGAAATTCGTGTGAAATGGTCAGAGTCACTGGAGCTAATCGGCAGGATAAAAATGATATTGCAACTAAGACTAATGGGGACCAGGCATCCTGTGAGTATATGTTATGTTAGCAATAACTGCAATTAAGATCTTGCAATACACCGTGTCACAAGCAATTTGGATGTCAAACAACCACCTTCTGTTCATCTGACCGTAAACTCTGCAGAAAATATTCAGTTGAATCAGTAAAGGCATCTATGACATGACAAAACTTACTTGGTGATTTGTAGAATAGCCATTAGAGTGATCTCTGAGTTTCATTGCAATCGTTTTTTCAACTTTAAACAACTGTTAAGATAGGAATTTAGCAGGTACAGCTTAGTGTACATTCCCAGCACCTGCCCAGTGCAGGGAGAAATTAATGTGCATGCAGGGGAGTTATGTCATCCTGGGCCAGCCAATCAAGATAGCCAAAAATGCTGAACCCAGAAGAAGATCTGAGAAATGCCTATGTAATCAAGAGAGCTTTCTGAAGTTGCATTGCAAGGGGAAGTGAGTATTTATGGACTTTAGTTCTGCTTTAAGTTTGTTTTTAGCTATTTAAAGTGTTACTAAACCCAGGACCCAGATTTCACTATCTGGTCTCCCACAGTACACACAACATGGCAATGCAAATATTTTAGTAAATATAAACAGCTAAATACCTTTTCTCATCAGCAGTTAGAGCAGTCTTGTGACTTCTATCAGTGTCCAGCTGAGCACCGGTTAAAGCCTATAGGAGCAGTTTTCATTCTCTCACTGCCCTATGAGATTGCACAACCCCTGACCTCTGTCTGGACAGTGCTGATTCATCCTGTGCTGATCACATGCAAAAAGAAAAAACTCTCTAGCAATACACACCAAACTGAGCATGTGCAGAGTGTCCCCGAGGCTGGGGAACATGGAAGAAGGGGAGGATCAGAGAAGACAGGTTCAAACATCCGTTGTACACATTGCAGAGGAATAACTCCTTAAGCTCTACAGTGAGTATAACGAGCATGCTTTACTGCATATACAGACTAATTAAACTGTTATGGGTTTAGAAGCACTTTACATGGAACTAAGGCTACTGATTTAACGGTTTACTAAAACCGTTCCATTCAAGTCATATCTTGAATGATAACTGTTACAATTACTGATGTGCTTATGTTAGTTCAGAACCAAACTGTCAATCCAACAAATGGTTGATGCAATAGCTGATCAAATGTGCAGCACCATGTCAACTGCAGATCAGAGACTTAAGCCTAGTCACACGATGAGAAAATCAGATGAAAAATACCGCTTTTGGAGCGTGTGTTCAGTAATCGGATTGTGAATACACCGCTTTTGAGAGCAACGACAGTTCATGAGAAATTATCCGAAAGAGCAAGCACAAAATTTTTTCTTGTACAATACCAGAACTAATGATTTTCATTTACCGTATTTTTCGCTCCATAAGACGCACCTGACCATAAGATGCACCTAGGTTTTAGAGGCAGAAAACAGGAGAAAAAAAATTCTGAACTAATGGACTGCAGACATAGTACAGGGATGACCAGAGACTGCGGACAGCACAGGGATGACAGAGATTGCGGACAGTACAGGGATGACCAGAGACTGCGGACAGCACAGGGATAACCAGAGACTGCGGACAGCACAGGGATGACCAGAGACTGCGGACAGTACAGATGACTGCTGACCTTTGGGGAGGTGGGGAGCGGGTACCTGAATTTGACAGGTACCCGCTCTTACTTCCGCAGAGTTTTTGTTTGATCTTACCTGTTCCTCGATCCAGCCACGCGCTGTCTTCCCGGCTTCTGTAATGGCGCTCGGCATGACAGCCGGGTGCCCAGTGTGCATGAGCGAGAAGCACTTGCGCTTTGTGATTGGTCCGGCGGCTTCTGGGATCGGTCATGTGTCCCAGGTACCGCCTTACCATTCACAAAAAGCACTGCTTCTTGCGCATGCGCACTTGGCACCCGGCTGTCATGCCCAGTGCCCGCACTACACAGGCCGGGAAGACAGCGCGCCGCTGGATAGAGGAACAGGTAAGATCAAAGAACAAAGAAGTAAGAGCGGGTACCTGTCCAATTCAGGTACCCGCTCCCCACCTCCCCAAAGGTCAGCAGTCCTCTCCATAAGGTCCCGTTGCAGAGCTGAGTGGCCGGCCCGGTATTCTGCACGGCGGCGGTGGAAATACCGGACCGGCCGCTCTATATTCGCTCCATAAGACGCACTGACATTTCCCCCCCTTTTTTTGGGGGAAAAAAGTGCGTCTTATGGAGCGAAAAATACGGTACTTAGTACAGTATTCATAATTGAGTGACCAAGACCAAGCATGCTCGGAAATGAAAGAATAAATTATAATACAATACTTTACATCACTTTTAAAGTCGTAACTTTAGTAACCTCTTTATTCCTCGATATGAGGCTAGCTTGCAAAAATATGGACTGTCATTCATCTGATGTTCTCACCATGCATACAAGGCTTTAAGGTGGCCATAGATGGATAAAATTTTGAACAAAAATCCTTAGGAAAAGTCTTAAATTTGTACAAAAATTTGGTTTGCTTTTAACATCTAATTTTGCAATGAGTAAATGAAAACAACTTGCACTATTAGAAATGTAGTCATTTGAGAAAAATTTGCCATCCAGTTTCTTAGAATTTTCTCTTCACTGTGGTTAGAAACAAACTTTAATTTAGCCCACTAATGATTAAAAAAAAAAAAAACTTTCTTAGAACATTCTTTTTCTAAGAATTTTATTTTAAATTCTGCCCATCTATGAACAGATTAAGATGGCTGCTTCCTTGACTGTAAAGGATAGGAGGCTTAGTTCTACTTTAATACATGGGAAATTATTTACAGAGCACTATGCCAAATAGACAACGTAGCAGAAATAACCTGCTTTCAAGTGTTGTCTGACTAAAACCCTGTTCTGTTTTGTATGATAAAGGGTGAGGTTACCAAGTATGTCTAGATGTGTTTATGGTCAGATGGATCAAAAAGATATACTGTTTTCAGAGTCTGAATAGGTTTTTTTTTTTACACAAATTGTGCCATATTTTCTAAATTAGCCTGACAACTTGTCATTTAATTCAGTACTTGTTCTAAAGGCAGTGATGCTGTTTTCAAAAGATTAACAATAGAGGATTTGTGTTCCTATTTACAAGTTTATCTAAATGCACTGAAAAAAAATTCACTCTCTTACAATAATGAAAAACACTTGCGCTAGCTCATAAATGCAATATTCATGTACATATAAACATATCAAAAATATACAATAAAAGTCCTTATAATTGTGACAGTTCAATTATTGTGCATGATTAAATGTTTGATATAGAATGTGCTCCAAAAAAACTTCAGTGCGCCACCGTAAAATCTGCAGCCATCTTTATCCATAGGTGAAGGTGCACAGATTTTACGGTGGAGCACTGTAGTTTTCTATATCAAACACATTTAATCATGCACAATAATTGATTGAACTGTCAATTATAAGGAGTTTTATTGTATATTTTTGATATATTTATATGTACTTGAATATTGCGTTTATGAGCTAGCGCAACACTGTTTTTCAGATTGGTTTATTTTGAGTGGGGATCACTTATAAGTGTTATTGCAGCAGCTTAGTGGCTATTTTGTTTGTTTTTTTTATGATTGTGCACATTGTCTTTTTTTCTATATTTACTCTTTTACAATAGTTACCTTTTTAGGAAGAATGTGTATATTTGTGGGATTCCAATATTTGCTATTTTAGATGCAGAATCATTAAGAACTGTAAACCTGATCTCAAACCGTTATTTTTTAGTATGTTAAACACACAAGTTATCCACTATTTTATTAGGTGTTTTCATCCAAAATAATTGGAGTAAAGTCAAATTTGGTTAGTTAGGCTAACAAAGTGGTAAGGAATGAGCCAATTTCAGCAACAAAAGATGCTCATTGCTTTTTTCATGATACCATGACCCAGGTTTCTGAAGTGCTAAGGTACTGTACAAAAGGTTTAAACTGACATGCAGGGACCTGGACATGCCTTCTGTTTGCAGTAAGTATCACTCTTACATTTGGATGTCATGGTCTTCCAAACTCCTTATACCACATCTCCAATTTTGATATAACTTTCGTAAGTAGGTCTTTGCAGAGGTGGGGTAACAAACTCTTCCTCTTCTGTTTTTATCCATTGTTATCCTATGAAGAGAATTCTTAGCATAATACAAATTCTCTTGGTAACCTATATGCAGTTTTATTGCTGTGGAGATGATGGAACAAACCTATTGAGTGAGTAAATGTTGCCACTAAGCAAGCTGTAGGCAGTCCATTTTGCAGTTGCAATAAACCAACAATCAGTCAAGGGGTCCCAACATATTTAAACTTTCTTGTCAGTTTGAATTGTCAGCAGCATTGAGACATAAAATTGCCCTACTTTACTCAGACCTTGTTTGGGCCTTCATTTACAAATCTATACCCCGAAGCTTTTAACATTTGTCTCTCTTACAGGTGAGAATGATGTTCTACGCTTTAACTCTATAAAAGCCAGCCATGATAAAGTGTTGATTAGATGGGACGCTTACTGGCCACCTGATTACAGAGATTTGCTGGGGTTCATGTTCCATTACAAGGAAGCGTAAGTATTGAGGAAAAGTGCTGATCCATTCTAAATTTATTCTAGCACATGCCTCTTCCAAAAGATTGAATGAATAGACTTTGCATTGATAATGCATAAATACAGAACATAGGGCCCCGATTACTGCTGCTATTCCACTGCTTTAAAAAACACACACACACATTTACAAAGTAGAGCACAAGTTCCCTTCCTAGGTCACATGACCTGGGAGGAGAGCTTGGTCATGTGACCAGCCTCTTCTCCACTCTTAAGAGTTCAATCTGAAGCAATAAATTATGTATGACCCCTTGCTTTGTATAACAACCCATTCCATTTAAAATAGAAATGCAAAGCAAAACCTTGCAGTCCTGTGAAAAATGCAGAGACAGAAATACACTGTGGCGAGGGGCAGGTCAGTGGAGAAACAGCAGTACATTGATTTTCATAGTGAAGAGCATTTTAACAGAAGTCAGACAACTGAAGTATAGGCAGAATGTCCTCCTAGGTGGAATGTAAAGATGCAATCTGACAACACTGGCAAAGAATGTGCTTTCATGCCCTGGCTTCGTCAGTTTGAAAAAGGAAAGCATGGGGACTGGCAAGATCACCAGCTATTTCACACAAAGGAAGCGGTGCAAAGAGAACAGGATATGTTTTTAATGCACATACATAGTAACACAGATGCATATCAGAAATATGAAATGTTGGGGAAACAAACTCTTTAAAGAGAACTTTATGGAACACTGTAGATTTACAGCATGGCTTCATTTTATGAACAAATGTAAATTGCAGACCGCAGTGTGATGTATCTTTGCAGTGTCCAAAGGAAAGTTTTATTTGCTGACCACTATAAATCACACCCATACAGTAGACTCCGCATTTAATTATTTATATACATACACTTTCATTATATAATACGGGGCTAGAGAAGGAAAGGCGGTATTTATCAGAAAACCATAGTAATATGTAAACCATCAGAGACTCAATGTCATTATAAACAAATATTGAAATAAGATACCACAGGTATCATACATAAAGTATGTACTATATATGTATTTTATACAACCAAGAAGTAGAAACAAAGTACATTTTGATCCAGGAATAATACATTTTAGTTTGTAGAATATACATTTCACAGAAAACATGGTAATACACAGGCAATTTGACTGGATAACCAATTATTATGTGTATATCCATAACACATTCATTGAAACAAGTCATATATTCCTTTAAAATAAATCCATATTCTGTATATGAAGATAATACTGGTTCAAGATTCTTTTCATAATTTGAAGTTTCCCAAATGTGACCAGAGGCAGCAATAAAAACTAGCAGGAATTCTATTCATTTCCATGTCTATCCTAAAAATACTAGTAGCCTTAGATTTGCAATGCTGAGATTAAAACTTTTTTTTTTTTTTGTTCCAAAAATATTTTATTAATCTAAGAATAGTCAAGACAGCATATAAAACATATACAGCCACAAAGCGAAGTCAAAACAAAGACATGACCTGATGCCTCCTGTTTCGCAGACGGGGCTCATTGCAAACTGTAATATGAAGCCGATATAGGGAAAAACAGTACATCAAACAGATACTGCAAACCATTGGACACGTAGGGTAAGGTGGATACAACAATGTTGGTAAATGTTATCGCGTCTTGAGTAACCGCTATTTTAAATGAAGAGGTGGTAGGAAGATTAGAGCAAGGAAGGCCATAGATGTTGTGAAAGTCATGGTTTACGTATTTCTCATTCAAGTATGTAATATCGTTGAAGTGAATCATATATGTGTAAATGTGAATGCTCTATTTAGTCGGCGAAGCATGACGAACAGAGTGGTATGACCCATGTGAAAAAAGAACGAAGTCGGAAAAAAGAACAGTAAGCAAAAGAGATATAGAATGAGATGGTAGGTAGGGTCTGAGGACAGAAGAGGAGAGAGAGGAAAAAAAAAGGGGGGGGAATTATTTTTACCTTTCCCCCCCTTTCTTCCCTTCCTTCCCCCCTCTTTTTAAAAAATGGGGAGGGGGGGGGATTAATGGGTTGAACGACCGTAACGTGCATAGGTTATGACAAGTTAAAATGGATCACCTCCCCAAGTACTCGCCTAGCCAAAAAAGGTAGTATCAAAGTTTAAAATGTGGTACATGTACGATTGGGCAGTGGGTTAACATGTGGATCAGAAACCCCATAAAGCATATCATTATGTAGCTCTACAGCCCGACCTTACGTACGAAAAAGAGTCCTCGGTGAACTGGGTATTCCTGGATACAGCCTCAATGCTGAGATTAAAACTTGCTGTCCATTGCAATTTTTTTTTTAAAAAAAATTTTATTGCAGGATGTTTTCTTTAGGAGTTCTGTAGAAGTTGATTTTTAAAACTTTGCATTCAGTACAAATTTTCTTTTTTCTTTCTAGACCTCACCAAAATGTGACAGAGTTTGATGGTCAAGATGCTTGTGGCTCCAATAGCTGGACTGTCGTTGATGTGGATCCCCCACAACGCACGACAGATGGAAAGACACCAAATCCTCCAGGGTACCTTTTACGTAATCTGAAGCCGTGGACACAGTATGCAGTATTTGTGAAGACTCTGGTGTCTTCATCAGATGAAAGGGCAAAAACATATGGAGCAAAAAGTGATATTATCTATATTCGAACAAATGAAACAAGTAGGTGTCAGGCTTTAGATTTATTTCACTGTTCTTTATATTTCTTTGTATCGTCATGTTATTTGTTCTGCAATACAATACAAGTTAAAAAAGAAATAATATATTTTTTTTTTCTTTTGTTCTCTTTCGCAGTACCCTCTGTTCCACTTGATCCGATTTCCGTGTCCAACTCCTCATCTCAGATTATTCTTAAGTGGAAACCACCATCTGAGCCCAATGGAAATGTCACACACTATCTGGTGTTTTGGCAGGAGCAACCAGAGGACGGTGAGCTGCGTGACCTGGATTACTGTAATAAGGGTAAGTGCCTGGTCTTCAGACAAGTAAAAAGGGACACTATTTTTGCTAAAAAAAAAAGAGCCTTAAACACCGTTCCCTGCAAAAGAAGGAATGTATACTTACTGCTCACTCACTGCCTCCATCACAGTCTTCAACAGTCAACGCTTTCTGCAGTGGCGGATGCCTGTTTTCCTTGCCATGTGCTGTAGTTCCTTCTGTTGACCTTTATGTCAGTGCTGGAAAATGCTAATGAAGCTTATCAAGGCTGTAATGACTCTTACAGAGGCTGTAATTCTTCAGTGAAGTGAAGATTGGTGGTACAGATTACTAGTGAGGCAAGAGTATTATTTCTGCTTTTGCAGGGAACTGATTTTAATATTTTTTTTGTTTTTTTATGGAAAGGTGTCTTCCTGTGATACAAATTTAATTGATGTTTTACTCATCCTCAATGAACTTAGGCAAGCCATAGATGGAGCAAATTTCTTCCCTGCAACCACGGGTTCCCCCATCAACACAGTCAGTGTTCACATGGCAATCCCTCCTGCCAAATCAGTGTGTTCGCCCGGTGGGGGGACGAGGGAAGCTGTCCCCACTTGGAGAACACAGTGATTATTGCTAGCGGCTATAACTGCCACTAGCGATAATTGCGTGTAAGATCGGGCAGGATGGTTGTACCCAGGTTGATCGATCAATCAAGTTCAGTACATTCAGTCTACCCAGCTTGGTTTGAATCTCAGGCCAGTTCAGCAGGATTTGAACCGTCTATGGCTGGCCATACTCCCAACTTCAGAGTTGGAACTCTTACTGTAAGAACAAAAAGGTCAGTAATGCTGGATCCTGACTGCTGATTTAGCCCCTTAGTGGGCCAAAGCCTTAGTGTCCTTATTTTATTAATGATGTGAGAGTCGGCATCTTGTTAAAGTCACTAGCTTTCCTGAGGTATGCTGATTTAAGGGAGTTCTAGCCCGAATGTTTCTGCAGAGCCTGAGTATTCCTGTAAAACAGGGCTCAAAATTTCCACTCGCCTGCTCGCATTGGTGAGTGGAAATATGGTGGGGACGAGTGAGTCCAGACTGCAGCAGGTGACATTGACAGTCGGGGATGATCACTGCAGCTGTGGGGCCAGCTACAAGCATGAATCTCCCTGTTTGGATTTCATTGAAGCAGCTGGAAGTCACGGGAGGGAGAGGAGAAGATGGCGGCTTCCAGCTGCTTCATTGCAATTTATACAGGGAGATCAGTGCTTGTAGCTGACCTCACCACTACAGCGATCATCCATGACTGTCAAATGGATTTCTCTTTCTGGGCCCCCCTCCTTTGTGCTCCTCTGTGCCTAGCCCCTTCCCCGATCCTCCACACCAATAGGAAAGAGGCTGGATCTGCTCTGCTTCACCCTGTGCCCGCCCACACTCCAGTACATGCAGCTCCTCAGAAGAGGATATGTGGGTGGAAAATTTTATGCAGAGCAGCCGACAGCTCTGATGCTTCATTTTTTTTTTTTCTTTTATTTAAATATTTATTAAATTTCCAGATAAAATGCATATTCCATCATATTCTCATTAGACATAAAAAAACATTATTTATATCCCTTTCTATATCTGTTTCCCACCCCTTCTCAACTAACTTCCCATTTCCCCCCCCCCAATACTCCTCACCCTGCATTACTCTACATCTTCCCTACAAAAGTAAGAGGCTCTTTCACATGTCACACCCTGAAGCTTCATATATTTCACCTTCAGTACAAATTTTTCCCATTTTTTCCATTTCACATCGTATAACCCCATCTTGTCTTCCTGCATATGGTACAATTTCTCCATCCTACAAATCTGGTTCACTCTATCTACCCAATCCTCTTCCTTCGGCACCTCTGTCTTACGCCAAAACTTGGGTATCAAAACTTTTGCTGCATTTAGATAGTGCCATATAGCTGATTCCTTGTATTTGTTTACTGATAACTCTGTACTATGTAATAGGCAAATCTCTGTTTTTGAGAATCTATAAAAAAAAAATGGCAGCCTACGTAAATGTTAATGTAGGTCTCCCATGACCATCAGATCCTGAAGGAGACTTTCATTCAGATGCCAATGTTTCTTGCTGCCAAATGGTAAAGGGATTTGAAAGTCAATTGAGCTTGGTGTGTGACCAGATAATGTGATAATGTCTGGGGGAATTAGGTAAAATCTATGCGCTTCACTAAAGGAGAAAGTGTAGCCCCTAGTGGAAACATTTTGAATTCTTAAGATGCCATAGCTGATGTGAAGTGAAGAAGGCATTTGAATGTATGTAGGGTGGAGTGGGAGGGGGTTAAGGATTAATGGGATGTGTTGGTGCAGTTCGGGGGCAAAATGAAAGTCCTCTCCCAAGATAAGGGCCTTTTTCTTTTGCAAAGAAAAAGCTTGAGCTAATAGGTATTTGGTTGCAAGAAGGGGTTTTAGGGGAAGTGGTGGGGACTGACCTCAATAGAGAAATGTTTTAATGCTCCCTTTTAATCCCTGTAGATAGGGTAGGGGACAGCCTAAGTGGGGGGATTTTTGGCAACAGGAAGGTTCTGAGGTTTTTCCCATGATATAATAGAAAAAAATACAACAGCAATTAGTTACTTTTTTTTTTTTTTTGTTTTAGATGGCGTGGAAAGGATTTAGAACCCCTGTCTGTTGTTATTGCTGTTTATGCTCCCGATAAGGCGATTCACCTTCTCTATTTGTCCTGTTTACTGTTAAAATAAATCTTCCAATGGGGACACTAGTTTTGGTGACTTGGGGGTCCCTAAGGGATTCCCTTAATTTGCAGGGATTTCCTCTCACTTCCTGTTTTGGCTATGGGGCAGGAAGTGAAGGAAAAGCTCCAAAATAGGACACAGATGGTGGAAAAAAATCTAACAGGGGTTACAACCCTTCTTTGCTTTATCCAAAATGAAAAAATGTTTTGCCTATAGTTCTACTTTAAGGTGAGTGCAACTCTGCAAAAGTCTCTCTTCCTGGTTATAGCAAACTTCTAAGCATAAAAAAATCAAAATGGTCACTCTCTCTTCCCTTTCCTTCCTGGAGGGAGAGGCTAGCCCACTGGGGTTCACTGCTCCCATTTCCAGGAGACCCAATAAGTGAGTGCCAGGCTTGCTGGGGAAGGATGGGGGGGCTGAAGTTTCTGGGAGTTCCAGGAAGTCTTCTAGGTTTTAATCTTGTATATGTACAGTGGGGCAAAAAAGTATTTAGTCAGCCACCAATTGTGCAAGTTCTCCCACTTAAAAAGATGAGAGAGGCATGTAATTGGCATCATAGGTAGATCTCAACTATGAGAGACAAAATGAGAAAAAAAATCCAGACAATCACATTGGCTGATTTGGAAAGAATTTATTTGCAAATTATGGTGGAAAATAAGTATTTGGTCACCTACAAACAAGCAAGATTTCTGGCTCTCACAGACCTATACCTTCTTCTTTAATAGGCTCCTCTGTCCTGCACTCATTACCTGTATCAGTGGCACCTGTTTGAACTTGTTATCAGTATAAAAGACACCTGTCTACAACCTCAAACAGTCACACTCCAAACTCCACTATGGTGAAGACCAAGGAGCTGTCGAAGGACACCAGAAACAAAATTGTAGACCTGCACCAGGCTGGGAAGACTGAATCTGCAATAGGCAAGCAGCTTGGTGTGAACAAATCAACTGTGGGAGCAATAATTAGAAAATGGAAGACATACAAGACCACTGATAATCTCCCTCGATCTGGGGCTCCATGCAAGATCTCACCTCGTGGGGTCAAAATGATTACAAGAACGGTGAGCAAAAATTATAGGACCACACGGGGGGACCTAGTGAATGACCTGCAGAGAGCTGGGACCAACGTAACAAAGGCTACCATCAGTAACACACTACGCCGCCAGGGACTCAGATCCTGCAGTGCCAGACGTGTCCCCCTGCTTAAGCCAGTACATGTCCGGGCCCGTCTGAAGTTTGCTAGAGAGCATTTGGATGATCCAGAAGAGGATTGGGAGAATGTCATATGGTCAGATGAAACCAAAATAGAACTGTTTGGTAGAAACACAACTCGTCGTGTTTGGAGGAGAGAGAATGCTGAGTTGCATCCAAAGAACACCATACCTACTGTGAAGCATGGGGGTGGCAACATCATGCTTTGGGGCTGTTTCTCCGCAAAGGGACCAGGACGACTGATCCATGTACAGGACAGAATGAATGGGGCCATGTATCGTGAGATTTTGATTGCAAACCTTCTTCTATCAGCAAGGGCATTGAAGATGAAACGTGGCTGGGTCTTCCAACATGACAATGATCCCAAACATACCGCCCGGGCAATGAAAGAGTGGCTTCGTAAGAAGCATTTCAAGGTCCTGGAGTGGCCTAGCCAGTCTCCAGATCTCGGCCCCATAGAAAACCTTTGGAGGGAGTTGAAAGTCCATGTTGCCCAGCGACAGCCCCAAAACATCACTGCTCTAGAGGAGATCTGCATGGAGGAATGGGCCAACATACCAGCAACAGTGTGTGCCAACCTTGTGAAGACTTACAGGAAACGTTTGACCTCTGTCATTGCCAACAAAGGATATATAACAAAGTATTGAGATGAACTTTTGATATTGACCAAATACTTATTTTCCACCATAATTTGCAAATAAATTCTTTCCAAATCAGCCAATGTGATTGTGTGGATTTTTTTTCTCATTTTGTCTCTCATAGTTGAGGTCTACCTATGATGCCAATTACAGGCCTCTCTCATCTTTTTAAGTGGGAGAACTTGCACAATTGGTGGCTGACTAAATACTTTTTGCCCCACTGTATATGCAAGAGTGTTTGGTTTTCAGAGAGGTGTCTTCTGTGACCTAAGTGGGCTTTAATCCTTGGAGGCGTTAGGTGTTGGTGCTTACCCATCTATGGCACAACATTGGGGGCAGTGTTAAGGTCT